ACTGAGCATCTGATAGGTTGCAGGTACTGTTCTGCATGTTGAGAACACAGCCTTTACCAAGGAAACAAAAACTTGTCTGTTCTTGGGAGTCTTTTTATGTTCTAGTGGGGGAAAGAGATAATACACAAATAAAATATGTGGTATATTAGATGATAATAATAAGAGGAGAAATAAGGTGATGTGAAGTATCAAATGTGTCTCAGTGGGTGAAAGTAACCAGCACAAAATATACTGAAAGTGATTTAAAAAAAAAAACCTAAAGAAAATAGAAGGGTGAAGTTGGCAAACATCTTAGACATTCAAATTATTAAATTAAAATGAGTAATTGTTCCATTGACTCTAACAATTCTATTAGAAGTTATTAATCAGGTAATTATTATTAAAGGGATTATTGTCCTCATTGTAAAGTATTATATTCTAGTTCCAATGAGTAGCTTACAAATAGTTAAAACATGAAACATTAATTCCTGCAATCCAAATGCTGAGATGGAAGGAAGCAAAACACATATGGGAAGAATATGAGTGAGAGGTAAATTCTATCTCTTTAGGTCACTGAAGCTAAAGTTTTTGTGTTATTTGGGACTGAAAAATAATCTTAGCAGTTGAGTCATGCAAAAGTGCTTGGATTTTATCCCAGAGATAAAGAAGACCCACTGAAGCATTTTGAAAAATAAAAAAGATTGCTTCATCACACCTGCAGTGTGGGAAGATCATTTCACTCCAAACAACAGACTCTAAAGCAAGACTGAAGTCTGGAAGTGTCATTAGGACAAGCAGGCAAAAGCATGTGGGATTTGAACCAAGTCCATGGCGGTGGGAATTAGAGGGAAAGCAACTGAGGAGCCACAGGGGAAGCCACTGGCCTCTAACCATGGGATACAGACTGTGAAGAAGGTGCATCAAGGTTAAAAACCAGCCTTCTGGATTATGTGATGCTCTAGAAAGAGCTTCTTTAAGGCGGACACAATCCATTCTAGGACAGGCTGAATTTGAAATCCAGTAGTACATCCAAATGGTTGTTTTCAGGATACTTGGATATAGAGATCAAGGAGTTGGAAAATGTAAGGGAATGGTAATGGTCTCACATATGATTTAAACAAAAATTAATATTCCAATAAAATAATATTTGCTGTTATAAAATGACACTGATAAATTATAATACTTAAGGTATAGCTAAGTGAAAGGAAATAAAAAAAATACACAGACAAAACCCCATATAATCCTAGTATTCAGATAAAAATTACAATGAAATATGGTTATTTTATATATAAATACACATAAATAATGGGATTATATTGCATATGCTTTGTAGTACTTGGTTTCATTCATTTAACAGCAATCATAATCATCTATTTCAATTAATATTTGCTTTTTATTTTTCAATATATAAATAATTCTGAAGTTAATTCTCTCATAGCAGTATCTGTGCTTAGATCCCTAATTATTTTCTTAGAAGAAATTCCTAGCACCAGGACTATTGACTAAATAAATGATATATTTTTTTGGTCAGTTTTTACTTTTATTAGTACATGTTTATATTACGTAGTAATTATAATCCTTGGGGAGGTTGGTGCAGGTACACAGCAAAGGTCAGTCCTCTTAAGGTTTTTGATAGATACTGCCAAACCATTCTCTAGAGCGGCTACAGCAATTTACAGTTCAGTCAGCACTGTGTGCAAGTACTCATAGTTTCACAATTTCTCCAAAACTGAAGTTACTTATATACCTAGTTGCTCAGTTTTAAGAATTTTATAAAACAAAAATGTCAAGTGCACTGCTGTTTCCATTTTGCACCTATTTGCTAGAATTTAAACTACTTACATTTTATTGATAATTTGTATTTTTTCTTTTGCAAAATGCTTAATCTTATCTTTTGTTACCCTTTTCGTTGGGACACTGACTGATTTATAAGAGCTCTGTATATGTTATAAACACTAACCATCATTAACGTTGCAATTTTTCCTTAAAAATAAAAACATGTTTGTCACTTGTTATTTATATTTAGTGGACACTTTTCTAAATAGATTTTTTTTATATTATTGGACTAGTCAAGGACTGGAATGGCGATTATGAAGGATAAGAACAAGGTGTATGCAGGGGCAAACAGAAAAACAAAAGCAATTGGCTTCAATCTGCAAATGACAGCATCACTTGGTAACGTGGTCACAGAAGGAGAATATCAACCCATATCAACCCCGTGTAGAGAGTCAGAAAACGAAACCAGCCTGTGTCAAAATTAAATCTAATCAGAACCGCAGTTCCTTCCTTTTCACACCACATCCAAATGCATCAGGCAAAACAAAACAAAAGCAAACTATAAAACTATAAAAGATTAAAAAGAATCACAGGAGCGGTTTAGTCATTCAAAACATGAGGCATTTCCACGTCTTGTTCAACAGTTCCTTTCCTGTGAATGGCGCCTGGTCTCATCTTGAAGAGAAAGCCAGACTTCTTCCTAAAGAGCCACTTTCCTTGGAGGGTGCAAATGTCAGACTCAGCTGGACTCCCAAGTTCTTTTCTCCCTCTCTCCCAAAGACAGAATGCACATACGTGTGCGCACACACACACAAAGACACACACACAAATAAGTCAGATTCACTCAGTGAGGGCTTCATCTACTGATTTAATCAGAAGCTGGACAGAGGAATAGGTGCATGTATTAGTTTGTTATATAAAATTATATACATTATGTATGTAATCATAAGAGCGAAATTTTCAAATATATTTATTATTACACAATCAGAGTCTGAAGCACCATTAGTCCCTGGAGAATGAGGGAAACCGGTAGATTCTCAGTGCAAGAATCTGGAAACCTCAGAACAAGAGGGACGGAGGGACTGATGACAGCGGCCCGGGTGGGAAGCTGATAGCCTGGACGCTCCCTAGAGGGGTGCTGGCGAAGGTCTGTATCCAAAGGCTAAAGAACCCGCAGCCTGATGACCACGAGCAGTGGCCACAGTGAGGAACGCCCTGGCTCTGCCAGCGGAGTGTGGCGGTGCATAGCCTGCCTCTTCCACCTTTCCTTTCCTACTCGGGGCCCTCCTCCACAGCTAGGGGGGTGCCCCCCACCCCTTAATGCACTGACGCACCTGACCTGGTTTATGGGAACACCCGGAAGTGTGCCTTCACCAGTTTTCCAGGCCAGTCTCAATGGAGTCGGGTTGACACTCAAGATTAACCATCAGATAACTGATGTGCTGGTGGGGAGGGCCACAGGAGGGGTCAAGGTATCAGCTTCGGCTCCGGCCTGTTGATCCCATTTTAGTCACTCTACTTCCTTACCTTATTCTTTACACTTCATCCCTACTACTTTAAAGCATGGCTTCCTGCATCCCATGCAGTATTTAATTCCAGGGTATGAGGTGGAAAGAAGGGAGGTTGAAGGGGACAGTAAAATACGGTGCTGTACACTTCCAGGCTTGAAAAGATCACAAGGTAAGAAATACCAGGCCATTCACTGAGTTGCCACATTCAGTTCAGGGTCACGCTGCCCTAAGTGGAAAACTGCCAGGTACTTCTGTGCAGAGCAGGGCTCCAAAGTCCGGCACTCTGTTTGGTTAAGAGACATCTTTAATTTTTTTTCTTTTTCTTTTTTTGTGGCAGGCTCTCACTCTGTAGCCCAGGCTGGCCTTGAATTGACATCTTGCAACAGTTGACTTTCAAGTATCCTTAAGAACCTTGAAACTGCAGACCCTCTCTGTCCTCTACTTCCTTTTGTGGTGAGTTCACTACAGGTCAGCACCTTCAAATCGCTTATGAGAACAGATGGCAGAGTTTCACAAATCACAACTCCTGCTGGCAGGTCCTTTCTCCCCAACTCAGCCTCGCTGAAAGAGCAAAACTGAACCACACGTCTGACATGTGAGTGCCCAGGGAAAGGGGGGCCAGGTATAGGACTTCTTTGAGTGGGCGAGGAGCTGGTCAGTAGCCTGGGCTCTACTGAGTAAGGAGGCAGAATGCTGGCACATGGGAAGTGCATGTTGCATTTTTGCCAGGCACAGAGGGAGTGGCTGGGTATAAGCACTGAGAGGTTTCCCCAGTGAGGCTGCAGTCATCCAAGATCCTCTTACTAGAAGCCATGAGCTTCCTTTCCCCGCAGTGTTGGCTCAGATTTGCCATTGTGTTGATAAAAATGTCAGATTTGGTTTTTAGATTTACACTCTGAGGTCACCCACATAGCAACCCTATCTAAAGAATCAGAAAGTAAAACCAGCCCTTGCCTGAAGAAAATCTAATCAGAGCTCAGTGGCTTCCTTTACGTACAACATCCAGAAACATCAGGCAAAACAACACTAAAGCAAACTACTGAAACATTAAAAGCTCAGTTAAGCATCCCAGAAGCAATTGGATCACTCAAACCATGAAGCATTTCTACATATTTATTAATGGCTCTTTTTATAGAAACAGCATCTGTCTCCAGAAATGACCTTGAGGAGAAAGTCAGCCAACTTACTAAAGAGTACAACGTGGAACCAGGGAAGGGGCAAATGTCAGACTCTCTCAGAGATTTTCTCAGACATACGTGTTTCTCTCTCTCTGTCTCTCTCTCTCTCTTCCTGTCTCTTCCCCCCAAATGCCTGACATAGCCCTCAAACACAAAACACATGCACACACACAGGCACACACACACACACAAACACTTACAACCTGTCTAGGGTTGAGAACAGAGCAGAAGTAGCCAAGATGAGGTTCTCCATCAGTGCTTTCCACAGTCTTCAGAATAAATACATAACAACACAAGTCAACAGTAGCCCCAGGTTACTTCACTCACTCACTGGTGCTGGAAGGAAACCAAACATTTCCAGCAAGATAAAGCTCTAGGGCCCCTTTATCTACCAAATTAGAGAATGGCCATCTTAACTCCTTAGCAGAAGACCTTTCATCCCAGAGCTCAGCACAGCAAACCGTTGGTCTGACTGCACAATGTTTCTCTCCTAGGACAAGACCACAGATGTCCCCCCGAGCCCTCAGCCCTGACCCAGCCTAGCCCAGGCACCTACTGGAGACAAAGGAATAGGTTGCTAGGACACTGCTGAGGAAATTCATCTCCGTGTGCTCCGTGATCACTGGCTCTGCGGTGGCGCTGAAGGGCAGCCTCATGTGGCATTCAGAGGAGGACTCCTGGAGACACTCAGCTGCACCGCCGTGGCGCTCTGTCTGTCTCTTCCTGTCTGGAAACAAAGTGGGTGATGAGACACATTCACCACGAAGATCTGAGGTCTTACTCTCTTTCTTCCAGTGAGCTTGTTTTCAAGGCACCAGCAATTCCTTACTCCTATTCTGCTCATCTTTCCCCCTTTCTCTACTCTGTCTCCTCCAACTTCACACTTTCACACTCCTCCTCACCTTCCCTGGCACTCTTTTTTGTCTTCTCCCTGGCTCACCTTGGAGGCACAATCCCTCCAGTTCCAGTGCTCATCTCTTCAGTCACTGCTCTTTAACCTCAAGCCACAGTTCACTCCTCTCCTCTTCTGATTTCCCTGGAGCCTGCACTGACAACATATGTGTACCTTGATCAGTTTGCCTCACTGCTCAGATCCAAAAATGTGCACCTTTAGCAATAAGTCAGGGCTGGCTATCCCCAAACTGCAAAAGTGGTAGCGTTCTAAAATACGCAAATTGGAGACTTCAGCCTGCTTGAAGCTCCATGATTTCACCTGTGATGGATCAGTCTCTCCTCCACTCCATATAGACCACCCACAGACAGAACCACCCAGGAGTCAAAACAGGGATGGGGATTTTGGTTTCCAGATGTGTGGTCTCTCGCTAGAAAAGCACTTTCTTTACTAGTGTCTTCCTCAGACCCAGCATTTTCATACCTAGTTCTCTCAGCAAAGGCTTCACAGAAGGCTGTTAAAGATGGAGCAAGAGAAGTGCCAAAGACTCAACAACTGGAATTCACCGCTGCTGTGAGCTGAGGACAGGGAATTGAGTCACAGGGTGACTAGAAGAACAGAAGGCTCCGATGCTTGGGTAAGACACTTGGGCATTTAGTGGGTCACAGAGAATAGCAACATAGAGTGGGTGGAATGGGTTACAACAGCACAGAACTCTCACTGTAGAACATTCCAGCTTCAGGGAAGACCAAAAATAAGGAAAAACAGATTGACTTACAGGTTAAGACAAAAATAACCACAAGATTCTTGGAGCAACCAGAGACACTGAGAGTGGCAGGAGGAAGAATGGAAGCTTCAGGGGCTCTGAGAAGGAGTTGGCTGCTGGTGACAGTTCCCTGAGCCAAGGCAGAGGGTCCTTCAACAGCCATTTGAATTCCTAAAAGGAGATGGTTGAGTGACACAGGTGAATGCTGACAGCTATCACTCTGTAGGTCTGTGGATTCCAGGACCCAAGAAGAGAATGAAACCATTGGTATCTCTCAGGTTATCTCAGACTCTTTCCTCCCTACCTGTCCCTACCAATGCTACCATACTGGGTGTCTCCTCACTTCTCTTCTGGGAGTCTCACCACAGTCTCCTAATTCTCTTTTGCTGATACCTTCTTCCTGCTCATTTTAGCTCCCACTCTTATTAACAGGGTCATCTTTCTACAAGTACAACTATGCTCACTCACTGTGCAGCCCAATCCTTCAGCTAACTAACATTCACTTAATTTCTTAGCACCATATACATCCACTGTTGTAATATCTGATTATTACTACGCACTTATTATTACTACTCCTAATTATTACTACGCACTCACCTACATATAGGCACAGAACTACAAGTTTGCTTAATGTTCCAATAATGTCACATTACTTTTAGTTCCCCAAGCTTTTTAATATATTTGGTGGCACTTTCTTTTACCTAAAACGTGCTTAGTAAAGGTTTCCTTTACAAGAGAGTTCAAAAGTTCTAAGAAAATATCAAAATCCCGATGATTTTTTTCACAAAAATAGATAAATGCATACTAATCTCAAGAGACCCCAAATAGCCAAAGCAATCATGAAATTCTTGAAAAACAAATAACAAAGTTTGAGATCTCATTATTTTTTATTTCAAACTTTGTTATGATGCTACAGTAATCACAACAGTGTGGGACTGGCGTAAAACAGATACTTGGATCAATGAAAAAGAAGTCAAAAAATAAATCTTTACATACACAATGATTTTCAACAAGGGTGCCAAGACCACACAATGGGGTAGATTTCTCTTTTTAATAAACAAAATTGGGAAAACTGAATGTTCCTATGCAAAAGAATAAAACTGGACTCTTAAACTTATTCATAAAAAGTTAATTAAAATGGATTGATGCCAGGCATGGGGCACACCTGTAATCCCAGCACCTGAGTGGCTGAAGCAGCAGGATTGCCTGTAATGCCAGCACTCAGGAGGCTGAGGCAGGAGGACTATAGCAAATTTGAGGTCAGCCTGGGCTACATAGCAAGTTTGAGGCCAGCCCGAACTATAGAATGAGACCTTGTCTCAGAAAGGAAGGAAGGAAGGAAGGAAGGAAGGAAGGAAGGAAGGAAGGAAGGAAGGAAGGAAGGAAGGAAGGAGGGAAGGGGATAAAAATAAAAATGGATTGATGATCTAAATATAGTAGCTAAAATTCTTACAAAAACTCTTAGAAGAAAACAGAGAAGAGCTTCGTGGCATTAGATTCATATTGATTTCTTGGAAATAACACCAGAAACACAGACAACAAAGCAAAAGCAGACAAAATGGACTCTGTTAATATTAAAAATGTCTGTGCATCAAACAATAAAATAGAATGAAAGGCAACCCATCAAATGCAGAAAATATTTGTAAATTATATATTGGATAGGGGCTTACTGTCCAGAAGTCCTATGCCTCATCAAAACCCAAAGACAAACAAACCCAACTGAAAAATGGGCAAAGGACTTGAGCAGACATTTCTGCAAAGATACAGAAATAGTCATGTGAAAAGATACTCAATATCACTAATAAAGAGACACAAATCAAAACTACAGTCAGATACTACCTCACCTTTAGGAGAGCTACTATCAAAAAATAAGAATCAGTAGAGAGGAGGAAGTAGAGAAGCTTTATACTTGTGCACTATTGGTGGGAAGGTAAAATTGTATAGATGTCAGGGAAACTAGTAGAATAGTACCTCAAACATTTAGAATACAATTATCAACGTGACCTGTCAATTCCATTTCTGGATATATATATACAGAGACCAGAAAAAAATGTATATATGCTTCAGGAAAAGAAAAATAGTATGACGTTTTTCAACAGATGGTGTTACTCTCATAGTTACCCTAGAGGATGCTGAATATCACACAGAACTCACTACACTGCTGGGCCTTAGAGAAGAAATCGAGAAATGTATGTGTAGCATCTCAATGACAAGCTACCTAAGCAGCAGTTCACGCTATTAGTAAATGTCTGGAAAGGAATGGCAAAGGTAACTTCTATGAATCGCATGAAGTCTCAATTAGTTTAGTATTAAAATATTTATACAAGTTTTTCTTTTCCCAAAGGGGGTATACATTTTCTGGGAGTCTCCATATATATATATATACTTTTTAGCCAAAGGTATTAGCAATCCCAGTGTTCATCCACAGATAGACAGACATCTAAGGGACTATTAAATATTATAGCCTTAAAAAGGAAGGAATTCTGGCACATGTTACCTAGGTGAACTCTGAAAACATTATGCTAAGTGAAATGGTCCAGCCACAAAAGGACACAGGCTGCATGACTCTACACGTGTAAAATACCTATAGTAGGCAAATCCATATAGAAGAAAGTACAACAGTGGTTTTCAGGGACTAAAGGAAGCGAGGCAGAGAAAGTTACTGTTTAATGGGCACAGGGTCCAAAGTTTCCATTTTGCAAAACCAAGATGAACAGCGGTGATGGTTGCAAAATACTGTTGTGTATTTAAGGCCACTGAACCGTACACTTAAAAATAAGCTAAGATGGGAAATAATGTGATTATCTCATATCACAGTTTTAAAACTTAATACTGATACTACCACTAATAAAGTACTGATGAGGTACAGGAGTAAGTTTTGAAGGTTACTTTATTCAGAGAACCCTGCAATCAAACTTTTATTTTTCAGTGAATGGGAACAGCAGCAGAGCTATATTTTAGTGGTATTAAAATTGAAACCATGCCTATAAACCCAGCACCTGGGAGGCAGAGGCTAGTTGGAGGCTAGCCTGGGCCATGTTGTGAGTTCAAGGCCAGCCTAGTATACATAGCAAGATGTTGCCTCAAAAAAAGAAAAAAAAACTTTAAAATTGTAATTAGTAAAATTCTAAGCTGTATCACATACACATTTAATACAAAAATGTTCTCTAATATTAAAATACAGACAAATAAGCATAATATATATTTATATACACTGATCGAAAAACATAATAATAGATGGAAAATTTGTGTAAAATGCAATAAAAGTTAATAAGGCCTACCTCGCCAAGCTCTCTCTCTCTGAATCCTGCAGATGCCTTTCTTTAGCTATCCATATCGTTGTACCTATAATATTGCATGTCTGCCTCCTGAAATGAAGAGGCAGCTTACAGCTCCTATTTGCCCAGTGACCTCATGTGATGCCTCACGAGAGGAAGAGCTCAAGGCTGGCTAGATGAAAAGAGCCATCGAGCATGAGTTTTATAGCTCGAAGCCTCTGGAAGTGTTTCTGACAGGGCTGAGATGAAGCCACCTGGAGACTAAGGACACTGAGGCTCTGAGTGGGCAGCAGGCAGAGCATGTTCTCGGGGCTCAGAGGGAAGCACAGGCTCCTCCCGCAGCGCTCCTATGCCCCCAGTGCTAACAGAGACATTGGCAGGTGCAGAGAAGGCAAGCCAAGGTTGAAAACTGACCATCTTAGAATGACCCAGGCTAGAGGACAACCTCAGTGGCAGAGCCTCCACGGTCCACATGGCACCACCTGAGAATACAGGTTGGTGCATCTTTACCAGAGAGAGCTGGGAGCAAATATTCTAGGCTTTGAGAGTCACACACTCTCACAGATACTCAGCTTCATCACATAGTACAAAAGCAACCACAGATGCATCAATGAATGAGTGTGGCTATATTTAGAAGAAAAACAAAATCTTTTATTTACCAAATAGCAGAGGTCTCAATTTGACCCATGGGCCATAGTTTGTAGAAGCCTGGCCGATGTCCTTACTCAAGGTATGATCCAAGACAGCAGCAGTGACATTACTTGGTAGCTTATAGGTCTGTGTAAGCTTGAATATCACTCCAGGTCTATTGAACCAAATTCCCAATTTACAGAATGCCTCATTGAATTTGCTCTTTTTTTTTTTTTAACTTTTTATCAGTACCAAGGATCGAACTCACGACCGCCTGCTTGCAAGGCAGGTGCTTATGCCACTGAGCTAAATCCCCAGCCCCTGCCCCATTGAATTTGACAAGTGCTGCTCTGTATGACC